AAGGTAAAGATTCTTCAAAAAAATAGATGCCCAGTCAAACTTACCTATTTGGTGGAATATTTTCATTCATTTTGGGGTGGCTTTCATGTGTTTTGTGTGTCCAATGGGAGCTTGGGGCGTGCCAAACATTTTTGAAGAACTTTTAAATGAGGTTTTGTCTTTTCTTAGTTTTAAGTGGGGTTATCTTTAGGTTTTGAGCTTTTTGGGTCTATTAGGCTCTGTTTCATTAGTCCAAGTGTTCTAATGGGTCAAGAATGGGTTTGCCATCAGCCATCACCCATTTGGGACTTCAGGTTAGGACAAATGACATGGCAATTTAATCTAGTATGTTGAAATGGTTTTTTTCTAGTTTTACGGTCAAACGGATGAATCTGGTGATGAAATTTGACACACTGGGTTTTTTAGGTTTCTAAACATATTGGTGATGTCTGAATGGTCAAGTAGGCTCGGGATGATTGAGATCTATGGCTGACAAGTTTGGGTCAACGAGATTTACTGAAATAGAATCTTTGTTTGATGAAAGGTCAAATGAGGGAATTTTGGGATGAAATTTGGTGGGTTGGCATTTTTAAACATCCTGAATCTAATGGAAGTGATGGATATTTGATCAAAGTTGTAGATTGATAGATTTAGTTCAGATCATGGTCTTAACTTTATGATTTAATCAACGAGAGGGTCCAAATTGGAATCTTACTTTTTCAACGGTCATATGGAGGAGTTTGGTCATGAAATTTGACATGGTGGAGTTTTTTGGGTCTCTGAATACAATGGTAAGTTCCGATTGGTCATATGAAGTTGGGATGACAGATGGTAAGCTCTAATTAATGAGATTTGTTGGAATAGGATTTAGGCTTGATGAGGGGTCAAATGGGGGAATTTCGAGCTACAATTTGGTAGGTAGGTATGGAATAGGGTGAGGAGTCAAGTGGATGTTTTGATCTGAGAAAGACATGGTCAACCTTGGTAATCATTCATCAGAATGGGATCCTGATGTTTTTGCGGTTGGTTGCCATAAATTTGTAGTGGGATTCGCTAGTTGATTGTTTCCTAGTGATCTTGGGGTGATGGATATGTTAGATTTGATTTTGGAGTAGTTGGAATTTGAATATTGCACAGATTATAGCCATTAAAAAGGAAGTTGGCATGATGAATGGTGGATCTTTGTAGTTTAGTCATGAAAAGTGATGTGTAACTAGGTTGTAGTTTTCCAAGTCTGGGGACAGTGTCTGATCAATGTTCTTATTTTTCTTATGGATTGCGTCAAAAAGGCGGTATTTCAGGTTTTAGAGAGTGTCAAGTCAATCTGATTGTGTTTCTAAGCTTTCGGGGTTTAAGAGAGAATACAAAGAGATAGGGTGAAGGGACAAAGCAAAAATTGGGTGATAACACCTGGGTTATGACCCAAAGCCGGTAAAAAAACCAAATGTGGGTGATTTGCTCAGCTCTCTTACATGGGGGAACGTGATTCGTTTGGCCCGTGTTAATTTAGATTGGCCATTGCTCAAAGCGGCTTTCAAGTGTTGGAATCCTAAGAAGATGGTGTTTTGCTTTGGCAATAACAAAGTATGCCCAACCCTCGAAAAAGTGGCTTATTTTCTTTGCATGTGGTTAGAAGACGAAGCATTGGTTCCTCTGCATAAACAAGGGTACACGAATGATGTGGCACAGTACCTATGCCGCATAGCGAAAAAAGTGAAAAAGTTGGGCAAAGGCATGCACTTTTTCTAGCCTTGGTAGGACATTTATTGTTCCTTCTAAATCGTGACAAAATCCATGCATGCTTGGTCACTGTGTTGCAATAATTGGATCCATTTGGAACTTCACCTAACTATACAAAGGTGACCCTTGTCCCTATGGTGTTATTAGAATTTTTGAGAGGTTTATCCCTATTACAAACTAAGAAAATATGGCCTTACCAAGGAACTCTTCAGATACTATAACTGTGGCTGACACATCATCTTCCTTTCTTGACTACCCCTGTAAGGAATGGCGTGCAGCAGAAACATCCATTTTGGGTTGTTGAGAGGCAGAAGGCTCTACTAATTGGCAATTGAACATGCAAGAGGGATGCAGCTAGCCACGTCTAGATGTCGAGCACAAACAAAGCATTACTTTAGCAGGAGTGTATGGTTTAGTCTCATATGCTCCTATGAGAGTGCTTAGGCAATTTGTCATTAAGCAGATAGTACCTTTCATTGGTTGTGTGGAATTGGATTTCATTCAATTCTCAAAGCTGGATGCAGATCTGCAACGATGCTTAAAACTACATTGGGCCACAAGTAAGAGAGATCTGCCCTTCATAGAATATATTGAGCAACATCCTTCTTATTACCAATTGCTGCAACATTCAGAAGATCATCCCTATGAGCTCGCTATGGAGTTGCCCATAGTTGTATCTGGATTTTGTTTATCCCAAGTCCTGCACAAGCGTGCCTTACGTGATGTTGATTCACAGAATGCATCCAAATCACGAGGGAACAAGATTCATAAATGAAGCACAGATCTATTGAGTTGATTGGTAAAACAAACCAAATCTAACGCTGCTACTATACAACGATAGTTTGACATACCTTACAAAGCAATTTTGGGGTGTCTCAAATGTTGGTTTCCTTTTGAGAAAAGACATTGTCAACATATTTTGGTTTAACTCTTTCTTTAATGATGTTTTGTGGTGGGGCTTGTAACCCAAATACATTTTTAACTATCATCTTTGGTACAAAGTTTTGGATTCTTAGTTTTTGAGTTTTGTGCATTGGTGGAATTTGTTGATCATAGCTTTCTCTATTCAATTTTAAGGTTCTCATTCGAGTTGTTCTTATGGTGGCTTTGATTTGGATCTCCCTTACAGTATCGTTATTATATGAAGAGAAAAAAAAAAGAGAAGTAAAATTAAAAATGAATTTTGAACTACGTCCAACCTAATCCCTTTCAAAGGGGTACGTAGAGCAACTCATCTCATGAGTTCAGCCACTTCTATAAATAAAATAGTATTTTTCCCCATTTCTCTTTTCTTTACCTGAGATGTTTATTTATAAGAGAGTGATTAGTCTATTCAAGGTTGTATACCCACAGAAGAAGGTAGACTATAAAGATTTGGATAAACCTCCTAATTCGATTAGGAGAGGTGTTCCTTAAGGATTAAGAGAAGAGGAGATTGAACTACTTCTGGTAACTCTGCTTTTAGTTCTCTCACTACTCTTGCCGCCTAGAAACCCTAGTTCAATCTCCAAGTCTTGTGACTGATTTGATTAGTTGTACTCTAATTTTTGCAAGAAAAATTCAGAGAAATGTTATGCTCACCTCCCTTGTTCGATCCATACAGTTGGATTACAATTTTGCTAAAAACTATGTTGCTAAACCGACTTCACTCCAAGCTGTGCCATTTTCAGTGGAAGTTGGTTTTAGGATTCAACTTGGGCGTGAACTACCACTCTGAGAGCTACATCCGTGGAATCCATATAAGGTATACATCTCCCTCATTTTGGTTTTAAATCTGATCTGGTTTGGTGCAAGAACGATCCTACAAAAATGCAGTTTTTCTGAAACTAGGGAATGCGATTCCTCGAAGGCTGAAAAAAATTTTTAAAATTTCGTCCAACCATCTAGCATGGTTCAGCCATCTATATGATGGATCTTACCTTCCTTCAATTTAGCCCCCCTGCCCATTCATAGGGAGGAAATTATCAAAAGACAAAACACGACATTGTTCAAGTGTGGGCATTCAGCCCCCTATGTGTCAAAGCAGTGTCTGCACAATGTTAATCGATATTTGAGCGCTCGGTGGCCTTTCGTATGTTGTTACCATTGAGTGATGAGAAGATAAACAGGCGTTGATGACATAGCAGCCATCATTAGCACTTTTCTTAACCATCGCATCATCCTAAATGCGACACATTCGTGCGTGTGGCCTTGATATGATAACTGCCTTTTAAAATGGCGATTGCTGACATGACACTTCTTTTAAAATCGATGCACCATTTATCCCGCCCTTTTGAATGGTGTTTTAGTAAATCTATACTTTGCTTTTTTCATTAAGCATCGACGAAAGGCCTGTAATCATGCTTGTTTGTCTTCCCCGACGCCGTTTGTCATTCCCGACACATGAGAGGGTTTCTATAAAGGATAGTGCACCCATTCACACCATTTTATTTTGCTCACTTGTTAATTTTGGGCTATTTGATTTCTGTGTGTGGTATTGTTTACTGGACACCTCTTCCTTCTCTAGCTTGTGTCCATACCTTTTCCTATTCTCTTCTCTATCACCAATGGCTCCTCGCCAGAAGACGTCTGAATGCCCTTTTGTCGACTTCGTCAAGGTAGTCGATACGATAGAGTTGTTGTCTGAATGAGAGGCAGCCAGGATGGTTGACGGTGGTAAGGGGTTTTGGCCTCCAATGCCGGTGGCCAAGGGTGAGAGTGGCACATTTGACGTTGTCGAGGGTTCTGAGTTAATGTGTCTCTACGACCGACTAAGTCAGTCGGTGTCGTTTAAATGCCAAGAGCCCAGGGCAAATAGCTCCAAATCACTCAATAGTTATTCTGGTTGGGCGTGTTACATTTTAGAGAACCCTATCTACTGCTGTCTTTTGTGGGATTCCGGTCTCCTGTGCTTTGTGGACCGCTTCATGGACCTCCCTAGTAAAGAGGGGCTAAAATACGTGAAATCCCTCCTGGATCACTAGTGCTGTCGTACTCACACGTTTGTGGCCACAGTCGGTGAGTTCACGATCACCGTTGAAGATGTTGTCACCTTATTGGCATTACCCGTTGGTGGGGCGATGTCTAACCACCATCCGCAATTTCCCGAGCCTCTCCTTGCTAATCTATCGGGTCTCTATGAAGAGTTATTAGCAGATATTGCAGTGTTCAAGTCCCAAATTGACCAATCAACTACCCGAGGTAAAATGCCTCTCTAAGCATGGATCACCTACTAGTTTGAGTCCAATGGTAGGGGAGATGTAATGGTGTGCGAGGGTGAGGGCCAGTGTCACCTTGCCACCTTTATCCTGTACATAGCATCCCGTTTCCATTTTTTGGGATTACCTGACTACGGCCTCCCTACAGTTCCTATTACTATGATGGTTGTCGGAGGCCATTAGCTTCCACTCGGGTCGATGTTTTTTGGGATAATTTGTTCGAATAGATAGACGACACTATTCAGTAGATAATGGACCCGAGTCTCAAGAGACATATCAGCTACGTCTTTGTCCCTTTCCTGTTCATGTCCATATGCAAGCGTCTAGAGCTCAGTGTGACACCTCGTGCTCTTTCTCCAATGCGAGTTAGCATCACAACTTTGAACGGGGATGACACTGAAGACCAAACATTGGGGGTTTGTCGTGGAAAGCATTGGCTTCTTGCAACAAGGCACAACAATTTTCAGATTAACGAGGTTGAATTAAAGTTGTCATCTACTGAAGGTTTTGTGTGAAGACCATACATCCGCTGTGTTCGGCATGCCATGCCGTTTTGTGTTGGCATTAATGTTCCTGAGGACGATGACCAACAAGGCGTTGTGGAGATGACACATCCCGTCTCAGGCATGGTGCGCCTCATCCTGTGGCCTGGTGTGATCGCGTACATAGATCGTATTAGTAAAGCTCAAGTCACAGCCTATCGCCCTGATCTGCGCCAGTTTGGGTATGATAATCTCGGTGGCCAATTTCTACGTTCCACGGGTGAAGATATCTTCTAGACCCGTCAACATTGCCTAGCCTTCCCTAGGACTTCCCGATTTCCAATCGTGGGATACATGAGGGTCCCGAGCTGCAAGTCCCATCAATTTGCCTACCTTTGTGCCTTGTTTGGGGGATTATAGATGTTCATGGGATCAGATCCCTGTCCACATCACATCATGGCCTCCCCGAGGGTCATGCCGCAGATCAAGAGCAGAGGCCAACTAGTCCCCTGCCTAGCTTGCCGAAGGGTGAATTCATCGGTGTACTTTGAAAGGGGAAGCGCCTCACTGCTGAGGAAGAAACCTAGGTTGGCGAGGGTACATCGCATTGCTGATCCACCTGTGCCCATTGTGCCACGGTCCCCCACATCAGATGTAGCATCATCCAGAGTTGGGGACAATACAGGCATGCGTTCACAGCCTCTAGGTCGAGAGGAGGGCAGGCTAGAGCCTCCTACCCAAATACCTGAAGCGAGGAGCGTGCCTGATACAGAGTCGACGCAATCAGCAATGCCCATTCCTGCTGAGAAGGTTACTTCCGCCCATGTCTCAGGCGGACCTATGAAGAAGATGGCTCCTCGTCCTCGGAGGAGGGAGCTTGAAAAGGTTGATCTAGTAAGAAGTTATTCTCTGATATATTTACACCATTCTGATTGCGATTAGTTTTGTTTTGCTCTTGTTACTAATTTGCTTACAGTCTTTTGTTCTGAAGCATGTGGAATCAGAAAGCCCACAGCCTGGTGTGGAGGCCCCAAAGGTCCCTTGCGAGGACGTTGTGGGTGAAAAGGTATGTGTAGCGTTACCGTGTGTATTAGTTCTGCATTGCGAATAAGTTGGGTACTGATTGTTTGTGCTTTTCATCGCAGATGCCCTTTGAGGTGGATCCTTCTACCAAACCAATATCACCTAATATCAGGCGACTGGTGCGAGAATTGCAGTCATTGCAAGCCCCTCAGTCAGGGTTGGGAGGCTGTTGAAAGTGTTGGCATCGATGGCAGCACTCCAATTGCCGTTGCACGAGAAGGAGAAACCCCTGCGGAGGTGCTAGAGGAGGTGTGTACTGAACTGGTCCCTGAGGCAGAAGCTACCCTAGAAGGCCCGTCAACCAATGACGCAGCTAAACCGCCAGTTTCGGGGTTATAGCATGCTACCACTAAGATACAGGAGCCTATTACGGCCACGATGCTGACTGAAGCACCGCCTGAGACAATAGTGCCGAAAGTTCATCGTGATGCAAGGGTTATGACTGTTAATTCTGTCGAGTTCAATGTTCCCATTGGCCCAGGGGTCCAACTTGAAGGTGAAGCCGTGGACTTTGAATCGGTTTCACCGTCCAAGGCACTGTCTTACGAGGAGGAACTCGCATTGGTCCGGGGGGAGTTGAAGGAGTACCTTGTCAAAAATGACATCGCTCCTCTGGGTTATGAGACCGTAGATCCCATCTGCATCTAGGGTCTTCGTACATATGACAAGTACCCTGTATCATGTTCGGTGGCGAAATTTGCATCCATGTTGCCCTCTGCTGCCCTTCCTTCGGTGGTTGTGGGGCCGGCTCTGAACACTATTGCCGCAATGATGGATTGCATTATGAACCAGCCTAGCAACGAGCTCTCATGGTTAGAAATTTCTCCATGGTTGAAAACCTATGAGTCCTCTATCATAGGCTTTCAAATGGGACAGATTAAGGAATGGGTCATCATGTTGGCCCATGTATTCTATAAGGCCGGTCTCAAAGGATCGCCATCTGTTTTTGGTCGGTCACTGAAGGATGTGCGCCTTCGTCTTAAAGTGATCAAGCCCAGTCTCTCAAAGGCTATTGAGAAGCTAGAAGCCCTCATGGAGGAGTCTCGACGCCAGAGGAAGATAGTGCCCGAGTACGAAGCGGAGGCGAAGGATTTGATGGACTTCGAAGAGCGGGAACAGGGTGTAGAGAATATAGACAACATGAGGAAAAATTGGTCCGCCATGTGAACATCTGAAATTATTCATTCTCTAAATCATTGGAGATTTTGTAAGGGAAAGAAGAAATATATAATCCTTGTCTTATGCTGGTGTCGATTGTGTCCCCCAAGTACTTTTGACTAATTTGCGTGTTAGCGTCTTTATTGCAATGCCAACGGGCTACCGTCCTTGGCACGTTACACTCAAGCTCTGGTGCATACCGATCTCAATCATAGAGGAAGGTTTTCCCATTACCTTAGATCTTAAGTGTTATCTGTTATGAAAGAGGCTTCGCAACAACATCCAAGAGAACTTCATCGCATATCAAGGAATTTCGAGTTTGGAATAAGTCTTCATCGCATATTAGTCGTGACATAGAATTTGAATCGAAGTTATGACTGAGCATCATTGCTATGCATGTAGTTGGTAAAACATACTGTGTGCATTTTTCGGGTTGAGGACTCAACGCAAGTGCCGAGAAACATGGCGCGAGTATCCAATGTCACATGTTCTACAAATTTCTATTGCAACTTATATTAGTGCAAGTGTCAAATAAAATCCAAACAATCAAAGTCAGGTGATTTGTGAATTTTATCGCAAACAAATACCTCTGTAAGTGTTCTGGACTTTAATCGTAATCGAGTACCATTGTGAGTATCATTGGTCTTTAATCACAGACTACTTGAGAAAAAGGAATCAAGTGTTGCTTCAATTCCGAAATATCATCGAGTGCTAAAGGGTTATCTCATAATGCAAATAATTAGCACGTGCATAGGAAAGGAAATCGAGCCACTTCATAGGAAGATGTAGCTCTTTACCCATGCAAGGGACGAATGTCATCGCACCTTGAGACACTGATAATCTTTGTGGGCGATACTGTCAGGATCTAGTCATAGCGTAGATAACTAGCACAAGTTAGGATTTTGTCATAACCACGTCTAGGAATGCAACTAGCCCTAAGGACTAATCATGAGCAGCCTCAGACATTTGTTGCCTTTATAGTAAGGCTTTTATCACCATACTAGAAGACTTCTTGGGTTCTCTTGTGGAAGTAAGACTTCAATAGTCAGAACAAGTGTTGTTTTTAACAAAGTATTATTGTCCATATGGGATGGGTTAAGTTTACCCCCCTAGGCTATTATAATTATGAGTTAGACAAAGTACCTATAATTTGTCGTGTATCACTTATGGTCATCATGGTAATTCTTCACAAATTGCATCATTTCCATCTTATTTCGTGGGGTTGTTAGGGAATACAAGATCGCATCTGATTTCGTCAACGACCTTTTAGGCTGCCAAGGAACATGTGATCACGCTTGGGGTTGTCAAGGAATACGAGAGCGTGCCTAGGGTTGCCAGGGCCTTCCTAGGCTTTCCAAGGAATGTGAGAGCATGCCTGGGGTTGCCAGGGAATATGAGAGTGCGACTGGGATTACCAGGGCCTTCCTAGGGTTGCCAGGGGATATGAGAGTGTGCCTAGGGTTGACAGGGACTTCCTGGGGTTGCTAGGGAATATGAGAAAGCGCCAGGGGTTGCTAGGGCCTTCCTAGGGTTGCGAGGGAATATGTGAGCGCACCTGGGGTTGCCAGGGCCTTCTTGGGGTTGCTAGGGAATATATGAGGGCGACTAGGGTTACCAGGGAATATGAGAGCGCTCCTAGGGTTGCTAGGGAATATGAGCATATATGTATATGTGATAAACATATCTAGAATTTAGCACACAAATTGTATCAAACAAAATATGAAATAACGAAGGATCATAACTTTATTGCACTTTCAGAATACATGAGTACATCAAAGCTTGATCACAAGAATTCAAAGTTCAAAAAAAATCATTAACATATGCATCAAGAAATCATCGCACTCTATTAACAGGTTATGTACATTAGATACAATCACAGAAGAACTTGCAAGAATCCCAAAAAGTGGGTGATATATTCGATACATTCATCCTCAGAAGAAATACATGTGATAGTCATATCTTATAGAATTTTATTCAAAATAGGGCTTCAACTAGTTGCCACTCACCATTTCATCTTCTTTCCTAGTGTCCGCGGTTTTTAGCACGTAATAGCCAGACAGGTGAGCTTCTTTGATCATGTACGGCCCGTCCCAAGTAGGAGAAAATTTTCCAACAGATTTGCCTTGTCTAATATGGAGCATTGTTTTAAGGACTTCGTCCCCTTCTTTAAATTTCCTAGGTCTTACTAGCTTGTTAAAGTTTGTGGCTAAGGCTTGTTTGTACTTGATTTGTCGTTGTAACACTCTTTCCCTTTCTTCGTCGATACATTCTAGCTTTTCTTCTAACAATTGGTCCATGTCCTCTGTTTTGAATTTCTTCCCCGTTGCGAAGGCTACATGGGCGGAGACCGTTCGTATTTCTACTAGTAGCACTGCTTCTTGACTGTACAAAGGGTTGCCTGCATTCCCTTTCTAATCATTATTCGGTAGGCCCAAAGGGTTTCTGATAATTTCTCCGACCAGTACTTCTGATTGTCAGCCACCATCTTGCTCAACATTATCAGTAAGGCCTTGTTGGTGGCCTCTACTTATCCATTCCCTTCCAGGTAATAGGCCGTAGATGTGCCCAATCTCGCTCTGTGTTGCCCCAAAAGGTCTCAAACTTCTTGGATCTTTATGGATAAGCCATTGTCTATCAGAATCCTCATTGGAACTCCAAACCGATGAACTATATGTTGCTTGAGGAAGTTTGCTATATTTTCCGCACAGATTCTTCGTAAAGGCACAGCCTCCGCCCATTTAGTAAAATGGTCTGTGGCCACTATGATGAAGCAGTATCTCTGGGAAGGTTGATGGATTTTGCCTATGAAGTCTACTCCCCAGGTGTGAAAAGGCCAGGGTGTAATGACGGGGTAGAGGTTGTTGGAAGGTCGATGTATCCTCTCGACATGTATCTGGCATTTATGACACTTATGCACATGTTTCTGGGTGTCTTCTACCATTGTGGGCCAATAGAAACCTAGGTGCAGGATGTAATTGTATAGGGCCATTTGCCCCTGGTGTGGAGCAGGTTCAGAGCTATGGGCTGCTTCAAGGATTTCTTCTATTTCGTCACCAGCTAGGCACCGCAGGGGCTTACCAGTGTGGGATTTTTTGTACAGCACCCCTTCCTGAAGATAGAATCTCTTGGCCCTCGCTAAAAGCTTTCTCCTCATCGAGGATCCACTGGCAACACGTTTTCTATCAAGTAGTTAATGTACATGCTTCTCCAGTCTGCCTCTCCTACTATGAGGCATTCTCTCCCATCTACCTCTGGGATGCTCTTCTCACAATCGCTCTATACCCTAGCCCCATCTGCCTTCATTGCAAGCYAGTAGTACCCTAATCTTTGTAACCTCCGGTACAACGTGCTGGTTATATCTCCGTAGTAGGTTCTATGGATTTCACTCAGGACCATCTCTGCCTCTTTTGACCCCAAGCACCTCGTTCTAACATCGTCGGTCGGCCGATGATATAGTACTCCGTTCACTAGTTGGAATCTTAGAATCACCTTGCTGTCCTGCATCGCCACATTTGGGATGCTCAACTTCTGTATTATGTTGTGTCTCCAATCATCCGCAGCGATTTCATCTTTCTTCTCTACCCAGTGCCCCAATCTATCGGTTGATGGTTCACAAAGTGTCCGAATGGTAATGTTGATCAGGTTTTCGCTGGGTTGGGCTTTTGATCCGAGGGTGGCAAGTGCGTCCGCATACCTATTTTTGGCTTTGTTCTAGTGTACGTAGGTTACTTCCAGGTCACGAGTTGGTCTCTGGATTAAGGTCCTATACGGCAGGATCATTAACTCCTTGACTGTGGTGCTTCCATCTAGCTGACCAATCACTAACTTAGAATCCCCTGTCACCTTGATCTTCTTAGCCCCAGAATCTCTTTCTACGGTCAACCCCAAGACTAAGGCTTTGTATTCGGCTATGTTGTGGGAACAAGGAAATTGGAGTTTAAACGAGTGAGCGGAGGTGTTGTCGGCGGGTGAGGTCAGGGTAATTCCTACCCCGGCCGAGGTGCTAGTACTACTTCTATCGAAAGTTAGGGTACACTCTCCTTCTTCAACCATTGTGATCATGGGCAAATCTCCCGAGACTTCTTTAGATATACGGAAGTTCTCATTGGTGGGGAAGGCAGTTAGGAGGTCTACCACTGCTTGACACTTGATGGCCCGAAGAGAGGAGGTTTGTCCATGAAAAACTTGATAGGGTCACTACGTGCGATTGGCCTCACCCTTTGACCTAAGATGTAGTGCCTAAACTTTTGCGTAGCAAATACCAACGCCAGACATTGTTGTTCCATGTGGGAGTAGTTCCATTCGGCTAGTTTGAGGGTTCTACTAGCATAGTATATTGGATGTTCAACTCCTTCATCATCATCTTGTGCCAACAGACATCCTATCGCCTCTAAGTTCGATGCAATGTATACCTTACATTGTCGGCCATCCTTGGGTGGTGACATGGCTGGGGCTTTAGCTAGGGTATCCTTCAACTGCTTAAAAGCCTTCTGGTGCTCTTCTGTCCACTTGAACTCCATAGACCTTTTGGTCAATGGTGTCTCCGGAAGCGTGTCGTTAACCACTTCGAAACACTAGTTTAATAATTTATAAATTTTTCCAATCCTCAGGTAACCTTAAACAACATAGAATGTGGTGAGGAAGGGGTCGAACCCATAGAGAAGCAAGGGAAAAATTATTATTCCTCTTTGTTTCGGACAAATAAAAAGAAAATGGAATTGGGAATTGTAGAAAATAAGAAAATAAAATTTATTAATACTGTATTAAAGGTTCATAATTAAACAAGACAATAATTAAAATTCAGAAATTAAAAGAGCACTAAAAGCAACAAAAGAAATAAATAAAAGTGATCCAAAATTTCGATCCAATGGTGGTAGTTGTAGATTGGCTGGACGGATTACAAGAACCCCTCTTGACAAGACATGGGCGTCCTTCCCTTCTTCATCCCTCGAACCCCTTAAGACACCTAAGCCTTGAACCGAACAAAGTTGGATCTGCAAAACACATAAACGAACAGAAATTAAATCTAAAAGATTGTTGGAATGAAAATAACAAAAAATAAAATAAAGAAAATAAAAAGACGGTTGATCAGA